TTTTTAGGAATTTATTGAAGAATGTCACCCAGTCTGCATTTCACTAATTTCTGCTTCAAAATGAGTTATTGATTCTTTCTTATGATTTTCAAGAGCCTTTTAAAAAGACAATTCATTAAGCAGACAGCACGAAAATGATTGGACACCATTGGTTTAGATTTCTTAGGCATTCTAATAATAATGATGGTCTCGAATGTCATTTAGAATGTATCTTTTGATATATATGTGATCACAAATCTCTGTTATCACTTCTAATTCTGTTTATCCAAAGGCTTTTAAATGTTCTCTTCTTATTTCGTCTAAGCCTGAATATTTTCCTGTACAATATATTCTTTACCTTCAATATCATAATGTTTGGTCCATCATTTGCCTCTTTATCTTGAGGGATCCTGGCAACAGTAGAACCATTATCAGCACCTGCTCTCTGAAAGAAATGGGTGTGGTGGTTATGATCTATAGTTATTGAACTCAGCATCGAGTTCATAAAATTGTAAAGTGAAAATCTACCAATGTCAGTGCTCATAGTCAGAGTCAAAGTGCCTACTAACAATCGTTGCTTGAGTTCACACATTTATTATTTTTATGTTAGGGTTGCAGTAGCAGTATAAATTCTAAAACAAAAGCACACAACACACAGAGTAAAAGTTCAATCAATTCATATGGCACTTTAGAATAAGATTTGATCGCTACTGTACAACAGTTAACCCTTGATAAGAGGAAGCTATTTATGTTTCAAAATTTCACGTCTCCCCTCGTTTTTCTTCTTCCCCTTAAGGGGGCTTATTGATTCAAGATGACTCAACATAATTATGCATCAACATTACTGTACACAAATTCCTCATGCCCTTGATTGTGCAGTGACCATATGGAAGGTGATTAGTCTTTCAATGAATATTTGTGGTATGTGTTTTACAGCTGACTCCATCAAACTGTATCATCCATTAACTATCCCCACAAAAGGAAGCATAGGGATGGCTTATGTAGTACAGTATATATTCACAACACATTACCATACTAGCTCCTCTTTGCCATCCCATCCAACTCCATTCATAAGATTTTTTTTCCTCACTGCAACCATAATCTAAACTGGCATTTCAGCATAGCACTGGGGCAACTGAAACAGACATTAACACAGGCACAAATCTGTTATTGGCTGGATACACAAACCAAAAAGAAGATTTCTCCTAACAGCAACGTGTCAATGCCAAGATTTATTCTTTAACTAAAAGCAGTTGGCTGGGCAATAATCTCATTGCTGATTTTGGACATTGTTTTGAATACTTTGGCTGCCCTACTTATCGCATGAAAACAATAGCTAGGGTCCAAGAAGTCTTTCACTTAAAAATAAATCCTTTATCATGTCTTAAAGTTGGGATGGCACCAAATACATGCAAGTTCTTTACAATGTAGGTGAGACATGGTGTCTGTGGTTAGCACTGCTGCCTTACAGTACTAGGGACCTGGATTCAATTCCACCCTTGCTGGCTGTCTGCGTGGAGTTTGCATGCTCTCCCCATGTCTGTGCGGGTTTCCTCCGGATGCTCCAGTTTCCTCCCACAGTCCAAAGATGTGCAGGTTAGCTGGATTGGCCATGCTAAATTGCCCGTAGTGTTCAGGGATGTGCAGGTTAGGTGGATTAGCCACAGGAAATGTGGTGTTATGGGATATAGTGAAGTCTAGGTCTGTGTGGAATGCTCTTTGGAGGGTCTGTGTAGACTTGATGGGCTGAATGGCCTCCTTCTGTACAGTAGGGGTTCTATGTACCATGACCTTTTTCTTTTAGAGATGGAGTAACACAAGAAGTGCATCACGGGCACTAGACAGAACAAGGTTTGTAGTTCCTTCATGACTGGGATTCAAAATACAATTTTTTGATTTGCCGGTTATGCCAAATTGGGTATAGCCAATAGTGAGGAAGACTATGGAAGCAGAGGTGGGCAGATTCTTGGTAAGCACAAGGTGATAGCTTATCGGATGTAGGCAGGAACGTGGAGTTGGGGTCACAGTCACATCAGCCACGATCTTGTTAAATGGTGGAACAGGCTCGAAGTGTCAAAGGCCTATTCTTGCTCCTAATTCATATGACAATTACGAGACAGTTCAGAAAACTTGTAAAATGGGCAAATGAAGTGTGAGACTTTACATGTTAAGAGAAACAAAGTGATCACATATTACTTGGAAAATAAGAACACGGGTGGACATGGGGAGCGGATGGATCAGGAAAACAAATTTTCAAATCACTGAAAGCAGCAAAGTTTAATCGCCCATTTATGAAAGGAGAAACCAAAGGCTAAGGTTTATTTCTAAAGGGGCACAATTGAAGAATAGGAAAAGCATGTTAAACATGTATCTAACCATGAATGGAATACTATGTACAGTTTTTGTCGCTGTGATTTAAAAACAAATTGGAGGCACTGGAGATGTTATAAAAATAGGTTTACAAACATTATATCAGAACTACGAGATTACACCCATTAGGAGAGGATGAATAAGCTAGCTCTCTTTTCTCTTGTGGGATAAAAGGCAGACGAGTCTTCAAAATTATGAATGATTTTGATAGAAGTAGATGTAGACATTCTGAGAAATTAAATAGGAAATTGAGAAAACACGACTTCTCAATTTAGCATTGTAAGAATGTGGCATTTACCGCCACAGGAAATAACTTAGGTGAATTGCATTTAAGCAACAGCTGGACGAGCAGATGAGGGAGAAGGAAATACAGGTAGATGACAAAGTTTGGGAAGTGACTCGAGTGGCATATAAATGCTAGGATGGATTGGTTCAGCTGACCAGCCCGCATCTGTGCTGTAAATTCTATAGAACTCTACATAATCTTCACTACTGTAAAAAAACAATTCAAGCTTCTCAAGTCACGCCGTAAAACTGAAGTCCCTCACATCCAGTGTCACTCTACAAAATCCATTCTGCAATCTCTCTCTAGCACCTTGACATCCTTCCTAAAGTCAAACATAATTCTCCATCTGAGCCCAAAGCAAAGGTTTAACATGAACTTCCTTTTTTTGCCTCTATTTATAAAGTCAAGGATGCTGAATGCCTTTTTAAACAGCCTTCACGACTTGCTCTGCCAACTTCAAATGTTTTTTTTTTCCACGCACTCCCAAGTTGGGTTTGTTCAATGCACCAGTTTTAAAATTGCTACTTTCAGTTCATAAAGTCTCTCCTCATTCTTCCTATCAACAGGATCACTGCACGTTTAATTGTGATAAATTTCATCTCGCATACATCTGCCTATCTCAGTTGATGTCCATATCCTCCTAAAGGCTATTGTTATCTTCTCATTAATTCCTACATTTAAAGTTGTGTCATCTGCAAAATTTGATACTATACCCTGTGATGCCCAAGTCCAGGTCATTAATGTACATCAAAAGGAGCATAAATACTGATCTCCACGTATTTCCCTCAGTCTGAAAACAACAATTTACAACCTTTCTGCTCAGTTTCATTTCTGTGCAACATCTTTAATCCCATGGGCTCCAAATCTGCTTATAAGTCTGTTATGTGACATTTTGTGAAACGCCTTTGAAAGTCCACATTCACAATGTCAACCACAGTACCCTCATTAAGTTGACTGATTGTTTTTGATAAATAATAAAAGACTATTCAGTTTAATAGAAAGCTTATTGCACAGAAAGAGGTCATTTGGCTCATTGGGACCACGCTGCCTCTTTGCAGGAGGAATGCACTCAGTGCCACCACCCTGTACCACCCTTTATAATTCCCCAAATCTTGTTTGAAAGCCACAATTGAATCTGCCCCCACCAATCATTCAATTATTGCATTCCAGATCCTAAGCAACCACTGCACAAAGAAAACATATTTCTTATCTCGTCATTGCTTCTCTTGCCAATTACCTCAAATGTGTGTCCTCATGAAAAATTTTCTCCCTATCTCCCCTGTCCAGTTTCCGTATGATTACGAACATATCTATCAAATCTCCTTTTCTGAAGAAGGGTCTAGGCCCGAAACATCAGCTTTCCTGCTTCTCTGATGCTGCTTGGCCTGCTGTGTTTATCCAGCTCTACACCTTGTCATCTCAGATTCTCCAGCATCGGCAGTTCCTACTATCTCTGAAATCTCCTTTCCACCTTCTCTTTGAGAACAGTCCCAGCTTTTCCAGGGCGAGTATTTTAGTGGCTCACAAACTGTGAATTGCACTTGCCAATGCGGGTATGGAAGTAGCAGCAACTGGGGTCATGAGCTCCCGCTCCTCCATGGAAAGCATTTGTGCACCGACTGCGCACAAGCAAAACAGGCAAGAGAACTCAGCCACTGCCTGACTACAGAATTAAACCGGGAGATCGTCTGCCTAACCTTGGAAAGACTGGCAGAGATTTCAAACTTGACCATGTTTCTGCTCGTTGTATCAGACCCTTAGCCCGGACTTGTGACTTTGCCTCACAGAAGCCTGTAACAAAACCAAAAGCAGGGGGGCAACAGCAAGTAGTTGCAGAAGCGGGTGGAGGGGAAACCGGCTCTTCACCCAGTCTTCTGCCTCTCAGGAATGTGCCGTGGGAAGCCCTACATGAGGACATAAAATAACATTTTTAGAAAGGACTTTAAAAACTCAGATCTATAATAAACACTTTAATAACTCTATACTGAAATGATATTATGCTGTTTTGTTTATGTTGACTTCTGGGTTATATTAATTTTCAAGTGTTAAAGTGGGCTCATATTTGAAAATAGTTAATTCAGTATTTCCTATACTAACTTATTGAATCTGTAAGTACCTGTGTTTACATTCATTTGGCCTTTACTCCCCTCTTGTAAATGTGTCTACTCTGTACCCAAACTGTACTTACTTTGAAGGTCTCCCAGTTTCCAATTACTGTTTAGCATATCAATATTTAATTCTAATCCACCTTAGCCAGATCTTTTTCCGACTCACTGGAGTTATCTAGAGCAGCTCATTTGGGAAATTAGATTCTGATTAATGTATTTGCTACTATGCGCTTTAATGTTAAACATTTAAGTTCACAATACTATCTGTGATTTACCTTATTTTATATATAAGGAACACTTGAAAGCAACACAGGAATACACATTCCACTTTCTCCACTGCAGTCTTAATACAACACATACTTCAAACAAACAAAGAGTTGATTCCTGTTTCTGGAAAGTAATCTTTGCAGGAAGGTTATTAGTGCGATTGTTCCACATTTTCACAGTTTTCATTGTTTTTCCTACCAACTATGGCAAAGATACTTCATTTTTTTAAGAAGAAATTATGGATACAATCCCAGAGACCTTCAATGACAAATTCCATCTAATTTCCAGTGGAATTATCAACAGAAGACACTTAGGGGACACTGCAATGGTGCAACACTTTAATGCAGCAAGAGGAAAATTTTTCTTCCCTAAGGGAAGGTACAAATACTTATTTTTTAAACCACACC